TGGTGAGTTAAGGTGTGGTGAGAAAGTTGAGGTGTGGTGAATTAAGGTGTGGTAGATTAAGGTGTGGTGAGTTAAGATGTGGTGAGAAAGTTGGGGTGTGGTGAGTTAAGGTGTGGTGAATTAAAGTGTGGTGGATTTAGGTGTGGTGAATTAAGGTGTGGTGAAATAAACAGAAAAGGAACTTATCCGAAGAAGTTTTGAAGGATGTTGAAGCGATAAATAGCTGTATTTTCATTTTAAGCGCTTTTCCATGCACAACAGCGACTGTGTAGCGATCGTTTAGTACACTTCGTTGAGTAAAAATCTTGCTCATTCATGGTAGGTGGTGATGACCGGCTGCTCCTCAAGCAGGGGTTTGGTGGGTTGATCACACCTGTGACATCCCACCAGAAACTGCTTGCTGAGCATTTTGTTAAGCTCGCTTATGGAAAGCATTTGGGTCTCACTGTGTAGATGGTGCCCAGGCGACATCAGAAGGCATCCTGTCGCTGCCTGGAGAACGGCGTTCTGACAATTCTGTAGCTTCGTTCACTGCGTCCACCTAGTCCCCGACGACCAAACAGGCTCGGCATGATTCAGAACCCGCCGGCCAATTCCCTTGTATTTCGCCAACAACATTTCTTTGCGCCAGATGCTACCGCGGAGCGACTTGAGGGCCTTGTCGTGGCTCTTTATTTTATTAACACTTGCGCTTGTGTGAGCGGAGAATGAAAGCAGGCTATCTATGGTAACCCCTAACATTTTCGGCTTGTTCACCGTCGGAACGGGTGTGCTATTGACGTGAATGCCTAGTTGAAGCCTGACCTCCGTCCATGTGGTGAAGACGGTGGGTGGAGCTGCTTGGAGTGAAGAAGCGAGAAATTTCGGATAGGTATTTAGCCGTTAACTTTCTAGCAGAGCACATCAGTTCCATTACCAGACACCAATATCGACAGTCATCAGCTAATGAAATTTAGGAAACTCCCTCCGGTGGCAGAGGAAGCTTCGAAGTATAGAAGTTAAGCAGTAGAGGTAAAACCCCCTTGCTTAATTCTTCTAGGTTTTTAAGTTTGATTTTGAAAGCTTTCTGACGACTGCCGACACTCAAATAATTCGACGACCATGGTTTGAGTCTCTGTGGGACAAAGAAAGCCTCGATGTCTTCTTCTAGAGCATGCAATGACAAACGGTGTCAAACGCCTTTCACAAGTCCAGCGTTAATAGCTATAGCCCTAGGGCTGTCTAGGATGTTGTCACAGCTGTTGTTATCTGCATCGGTCAGACGATATTGTGCGATCTGGTGTACAATGAGCAGAATTTAGCTGTTGTACCACTTTGACACTTGGGTTCCAGTTGTCAATAAACTATGCCGATCCATAAAGACGGTCATCTCTTCGATCGGGGGAGAGGAAAAAGTAAGGATACCTTCCGAGAACTATTTGTGGTTGTCACTATTTGGGATGTTGCCTCAAATGGGAAATGCCAGTAGTGGAAGCAGTGTGTGCCGTTTAGCTAGAGCATAAGACGTCAAAAACCGTATGGTCCACTCCCTGTGTGATCCAAGGCCAGGGCAGGTGGTCTTCTCTGTATTACGATTCGAACAGCAAAACATTCGGATCGAATACTTTGCAGTATGAATTTGTAGACACTCATTAGCCCGTGTCGCCTTTCGAATCAATCGCAGTTTTTTTCATTGCAAGAAATTCGGTTCGGTTGGAAGGGTTCGTGGATATAAGCAGGGGATTATGTGATCACTCGGAATTCGCGTTAAGGCAGATTTTTTGGTTTTCAACTGTTGATAATGGAAATTTAACGGTATAATCTAGCGTATAAATCATATTTACAAAAAGTATACATTAGGGTGGTACATCACTATCCATACAAAAAAAAATTAAGACTCCCGCCAAAATATTTCAGAAAATTGTGAGCGTGTTCTGCACTGATTTGAAAATACCTCAAGAAACCGTGTTTTTATAAATAAAATTAGTTTAAAAAATCACCTCGGATGATAGAAAAGTTTAAGCTTTGTATAAAAATGATTAAAAATCGTATCAGCGGAATGAAAATAATTACATTTTTGGAGGTACATATTTTCAAATCGGTCCAGCGCACGTGAATTTTAATATCTTTCCGAAATAGTTTTACGGAAGTTTTAAAATAAAAATAAAAAAATATAACTCCGGTGGAAACCCCGCAACTTTTCTTTTTGATGCACCCAATTCTCAAATTTTAATGCATATAATTTTTAAAAAATCATTAAATAATTGAAAGCGTTTATTTCTATTAAAAAATACTCCAATTTGATTATAATTATCTGCACTTCTCGTGATGCTATATAAAGCGGCTGCATTTTATCATGCATGCAATTATTTATAAACACTTCCGAGTTCAGAAGCTTTTGTAATACAGAACAGGCCCAACATTTGTATTTCAAGGGGAAAAAATGACCAGTATAAACGCATGCATTCAGCTGACGCTTACTTTCTTACTGATTTATAGTTGCAATATGGTTAGAACACAGAGTCGGCCCAAGGATAATGGAGATATTTATGTACAGCACAAAACTCAGTCAGTTATGGCTGGTATAACTGCGGACCAAACAGATATACCAAAAGCGGCACAAACGTATGGAAGCAATATCTTTAATGTTGAGGAAGTGATGAGAACCTGCAATGCCAGCTTTTCTATACCAATGGGTATATTTGTGCTTGAAAGCTAATAACTGAAACGTTGTAAAAACATTAAACGTATAAGATTTTTTTTAACAGATTACATTGTGCAATTCAACACAACGGGCGAGTTGTCAGACACAACAGATAAAACGGGCATGGTAATAGAGCATTTACAAATATTTATACATTTTTAATACAAAAAAAAAAAAAAAAAAAACGTTNATGTTGAGGAAGTGATGAGAACCTGCAATGCCAGCTTTTCTATACCAATGGGTATATTTGTGCTTGAATGCTAATAACTGAAACGTTGTAAAAACATTAAACGTATAATATTTTTTTTAACAGATTACATTGTGCAATTCAACACAACGGGCGAGTTGTCAGACACAACAGATAAAACGGGCATGGTAATAGAGCATTTAAAAATATTTATACATTTTTAATTCAAAAAAAAAAAAAAACAAAACGTTGATACCAAATATTTTGTTACCGTTACAACCACGACACTTTATTTGTATTCCTCCAGTGTTTCATACGTTGTTTCTTGGAAAAGTCGGGCTTAATAAAAAATTGGCATTTAAATAAGGATCTGATAATGCAAACTATGTGGTCAATAATCGCCGATTCAGTTGAATTATGTGAATCAGAATCAGGTAAGTTAAGGTATTATAAAAATATTATTTTTTAAACGATTTAACTTTCAGAAAGCGAAGTAAATGCATGTGTGCGTACTTATGCCATAGCCAAGTGTCTTATGAAACGCACGCTGGAAGCTGCGGGCAATCAAACATTGACTTAAGGCTTCTGATTCTGAGATTATGCGCAAATCTTTACAGATTTTCTAAACAAACTTACATTTGCAAGTATTTCATGATTTTTATGCGCACTTAAAAAATTGCTATAAACTCAAGTTACATACTTAACAAACTGGCAATACATACATACATATGTATAAAAGAAAATAAATGCACTTAAAGTTATAGTTGCGTTGCAAATGCTTCACGATTTGCAGGTTTTTACAGGAAGCCGTTCCAGGTGACCACCNCTATAGTTGCGTTGCAGATGCTTCACGATTTGCAGGTTTTTACAGGAAGCCGTTCCATGTGACCACCTTTCATAAGGTTTATTAATGGAGAAAAAAGCTTTTCCTGCAAATCCGGAAGCATCTGGAACGCAACTTATATTGTACACAAATGTTTGTGAAATTAATCTGCCTACTTTCACGTTTCTTGTTGCTGTTGTTGTAAGTTCGTATCCATTCCATTCATCATACTTTCTTCCCTCGCCTCAGGTCGACAAATTGTACTATAATTGAGCAAACGATTTAATCGTTTACCAATCTGTTTAGGATATTGTTGATTTTTAATGCGAAATTCTTTCGATTGGTGTTCCACAGCGCCATTATCCAACTGATATTTACACAAGGTATGCAGTGGACGTACTAGCAGTTGGCGCAATTCAGCGCGTTTCTCCAGCACGGATAGTGCTTGCGCCGCTGTTTCTAGTGTGCTGAGACATCCTTCGGTAGGCTGTGTGCGTATGATATAATCGCTATTGCCGGCCGCTATAAGTTTGACTTGTCGCATGCCGTGCAGCATGGGACTGCTAGCATAAATTGCTTTTGCCTGTGGCCATGTACCATCAATAAGCACCAAAATAAAAGGTTGTTCCTCATTCCGTTCATCTTGATCTGTGTTTATTTGCGCCATAACACATTCTATAGGCACAGAGTCTTTACTCGGATAGAGTAGTAAAGAATTGGGTGAATTTAGGATTGGTTCTAGCTCGGCTTGATTCTTTGGCGATGGAAATCGTTTGCCTTTATATACCACACATTTTCCGGGTGTTACACCAAGTTGCAGCATTAAGGCTGTGCGCAGGGAACGCTTCTCCTCGGCAGGATGTTGCAATATAACAATCGCAGATTTGATGTCAAGTGGCGGATTGGGTAATGATGGGCACCAACAGACCACAGCTGGTCTCCTGCGAGCGGAGATTTGCTTAAATCAACTGGATATGCAGTCAAATTAACCAGGAACTCACTTGCATTTCTCACATTTGTCGCGTCTATCTGGAGGATCCAGATGTATACCAAACAAATCTTCACAGCATTCTTCTAGTAGAGGATTTCGGCTGGAGTTGTCTTCAATATCCATATTAAATTTAAGTAATTTTAACTTCCGTGATTTCTGTAGAATTGAACAAATTGACACTTGCTGTAAAATCAGCTGTTCCCCACAAAAGGAAACATAACCCAACCAACATTTAAGCTGAAATTAGTCAAGAACGTAAACCTACCGGCACGTAAACCCGAGTCAGCTGACGATCTATCTTACCAGAGCGCCATGTAAATGAAAATTAAACACCGCATAATTTTTCTGTAGTTGTAGCCCGCAGCGCAGAAATCTGCTGAATTTAGGTTTTCCGCGACCCATTTTTTAATGAGGAAAGCCCGTATGTATTCCTCTTTCATAATCACCAATCTTTTACCATTTATTTAAAACACCCTGTTTATGTGTTTGACAGCGCGAACTGGACAGCCAGCTGATTGTTGACCAACGAAAATCAGTGCGTGGGTTTGTTTTTGTTGCTCCAAAAATTGCGTTCGTCTGCATTGCGCTGATCCGACTATTTATCTTGATTTCCTTAAAACATTAGTGTTTATTTTGTCATTAGATAGTAAAATTAGTGAAAATTTACCCATTAATTTAACGTTTCAGTCACCAAACTTCGCTTGCAACAACTCCCAGCTACTTATCTAACCTACCCAGCCCACGATGAATAGCTTAGGATGGATGTTAATAATGAAAAAAGGTTGTCTATTCTGCTCCAAAGAGACGGTTACCATCAGAGGAACTAAATACATTATACGTGATCGGCTGGCAGAGGGGTAAGACACAGTGAATATTTTTTTGATTCTGTAGCCTGTAATTCCCTGTGTATTTTTACAGTGGATTCAGCTTAATAAACCTGGCGGAAAATTCTATAACGCACAAGCTGTATGCGGTGAAACGTATAACTTGTCACAGCATCGATGACCAAAATATAGCCGTGCGAGAAATCGAAAACTGTCACCGTATTGATTCAGAGAATGTAATCAAAGTAATAGACTACGAGCTGAAAGGATCAGCGGATATTGTCATTAATACAACGAGCGACCTGTACATTGTACTGCCATACTATAAGAATGGTTCATTGGCAGATCATTTGCAAATGCGTGCACGTAAAGACGATCACATGTCCGAACCTCAAGTTCTCCAGGTTTTCCTTGGTATATGCAACGGTTTAAGGGCGATACATGAAACTAAACCAGTACCGCTTGCACATCGTGACCTTAAAACTGCAAATATTTGTTTGTCCGACACTTTTGAACCGATAATTGTAGATCTAGGCTCTATGACAGAGGCGCGTTTGCAAATCTGTGGGCAGAATGAAGCACAGCGGCTGCAAGATGAAGCTGAGGAACGCAGTTCGATTGTGTATCGTGCGCCTGAATTGTTCTCCGTGAAGTCGTATTCTACTGTAGATGAACGTACAGATATTTGGGTTACTATCAAATTTTAAATTCCGTCTGGTACACGTAGAACTTATAAATTTGTTTTTTTTTCAGTCTCTTGGTTGCGTACTGTATGCAATGTGCTTTTTTCACTGTCCGTTTGATTCGGTGTACGAAAAAGGTGATAGCGTTGCTTTAGCTGTTCTGAGTGGTAACATCAACATTCCTGAAAGTTCCGTATATTCGGAAGATATGCATGATTTGATTAAATATATGCTTCGGATGGATCCGATGGAGCGCCCATTTATATACAGTGTGATTGAGAAGACCCAAGATTTAATACATAAGTTGGATGGACGTGTTTAGCAACTCATAGAGAGTGACATTTGTTGAGATTTTTTACACCTCATATGCAATTACGAAAATTTAGCAAAAATTTTGCATTTTTTGTTTTGTAATTATGACAACTAAACTTGCATATCGCACATCATCTTTAAAAGAGGCACAACTCAGAAATCAGATCCGAAAATATAGCTACTTGAGGATCTTACAGATTCAACACATTAACAGATATGACAGTAGTTTTCAAATGAAAGAATACAATCAATCAGAAGAAAATATTTGCATTAATTNAATTGTGCCCCTTTTGAAGGTGTTCGATATGTCAAGTGTACACTATAGTAAGTTTCTATATTTTATTGTGAGTAAAGTTTATTAATACCTAAGCTAAATAAGCTTATTGACTTTGTTTCAAAAAGTTGCTCGTTAATGATCATCGCGTCCTTCTCCTGGGCAATTGGTACTCATATCCTCTTGATCTTTGTAATGGACTCCACACCAAAAGCAAAACTTATAGGAAGTGCGCAGATAACTAGTCAACATTTCAAGTTTCTCTGTCGGCGTGAATTCTTCTTCGTCGCTAATATCGTCGGCTATTGCAATATCTTCTGGGGCTTCATTAGCTTCTTCACTTAAATTTGATTCGCGCTCCGGCCCAAACCAACTTAACTCCGGTTCTTTGATGCCATTCTGCACGTCTATTGTTTCACATGTTAGCTGACAGCGCCTGTAATTTTGGATAAATAAAATTCATTTTTTGTTAATTATTCAATTTAACCAACTTTAGGGCACCAATTGCAAAACGCTCGTCCGCTTTCTGTTGAGCGCGTTTTCGGAATTCCTCCACCGACACTTCTTCACCGCCAGTAAGTTGGGACCGGAACTGTTGTTCTCGAATCTGCCGTCGCCGCTCAGCTAAATCTCGTAGAGCTGTTTCACGCCCTAAACCTCCACGGTCTGCCTTTATACTAATCCCAATCGGTTCAGTCAAGCGTTTTTCTTTTTCATTTCCCGTGGCTTCTTTACCCAGTGCCTGCCCCGGCTTATAACCCATCTTAGCAAGCATTTGAAAGCCTTTATTTTGCTGTTCAATTGGTCGTTTTAGCGACTCTTCCAGAGATTTATTATCCACAATTCCTCTACGCGCCTTGCTTTCCTGCTTTTGTCGTTTAATTTGTTCCCTTTTACTTTCCTCAATGGCTATCTGCCGCTTTTTATTCGACTGTTGTACAAGGCTTGGGCGAACATCTCTGGAAGCATACAATTATAATGTTACAAGTTTTCACCTGAAAAATTTTCTTACCCAGAAAGGAACTTGTCGGACATGTAATCATCATCATCTGACATGATTAAATACGTTTTCTCAACCCTTAAACTGGTGAAATTTATCCTTTATGAAGTTTCAAACTTGAGTAGGTATTTCAGAAGAATTAGAAATTAGTTCTTTATTTTTACTTTTGTGATTTTAGTAAGTTTGCCCAATCCTCTAAACACCAGATCAAAGTTTTGTTTACCTTTACAAACTGTTATAACAGCTAGCTGTTAATATATGAGCTGCCATATGATTGTATTTGTTTTAGTTGTGCCTTATAACATATTTACACCTTGTCCAAATGCAAAGAACGTAAGAACGTAGATTTACATAACGTAGTGCGTAGATTAACGTTCTTTGCCAAATGCTTTTGCTTACGCGTAAAATCACATTATTTATTATTTATATTTTTATTATATTTAGCTCAAAATGCTACTCTAAATGCACATTTATCCATACATAATTGGTCACCTAAATGCAACTCATTTTCTGCGTTAAGAATCTAAATACTAAAAACAAACAATAAAAATTTCCACGATTTGAACATGGTTTAATGACAAAAGGTGGCAGCATTGCCCTTTCGCGTATGCACCAGTTATGAAATTGATGGTACAATGCAAAGCGAATTTATACAAGATGGCTTTACCGGCTAAATCTAAATTCAGATATTCGCTGCGGTACTAATTAATGTCAAAATGATATGTTTTTTGTAAACAAGGCGCATTCATATTACAACAAACACAATAATTTATGAATGAATACGTATTTTTCTCAAAATTGATACTGCATTATAACTCATTCAAAAATATAGGATCTCCTCCTCCAAACACCCACTCTTGTTTCAAAAATTAACTATATATATACATATAACTATGTGCCTTTAAAACTAACCCATTTTCTTTTCCACTATCAACTGACAAATTCTGCCAAAACGTTTCAACATTTTTATTTATTTTGGAAAATTGAATACGGCAATTATAGTTGACACACACTACTTAAATAAAAAAATCTGGAGATTAATAATAAATTAACTAAAAATGAATTCAACAAACCTTGCCTAATAACTTTACTTTTTTCATTGTATACTAGCAATATTTATAAAATTTACAATAAATAATTCAAAAAGCCCTATTTACTTTTGGTTATTTGCAAGTTTTCGCAGCTAAAAATTTCCAGAAAAAATTCACAGATC